AGAAATCGGTGCAGCGGTTGCCAAGATATACACATGTAACCATAAGTGGGCGTGGCTACGCCCATTTTCCAAAAATTTATAATATTCTTATTTTTCGTCTAAAAATTATTGTAAATATCAATTTTGAGTGAATTATCTTCAGTAGTTACTAAAATATCGCAGTTTTCGTATTTCTGAAAATTACCGTTATATGGGAAGTGGGCGTGGTTATTGTCCAATTTTTAAAATTTTCGGCCATTTAGTATGCTGTATCAAGGCCAACAACTGTGCCAAGTTTGGAAGAAATTGGTGCAGCGGTTGCCAAGATATACACATGTAACCATAAGTGGGCGTGGCTACGCCCATTTTTCAAAAATTTATAATATTCCTATTTTTTGTCTAAAAGTTATTGTAAATATCAATTTTGAGTGAATAATCTTCAGTAGTTACAAAAATATCGCAGATTTCGTATTTCTGAAAATTACCGTTATATGGGAGGTAGGCGTGGTTATTGTCCGATTTTTCCCATTTTCAATACCGTCCGTCCTACGCCCGAAAGAAGTACACGTACCAAGTTTCGTTAAGATATATTAATTTTTACTCGAGACAGACGGACGGACGGACGGACGGACGGACAGACAGTCACCGCTTAATCGATTTCTCTTTTCATTCTGATCATTTATTTATACATTTGTCTATATCTATCTCGATTCGTTATGTGAACAAAGTTATAATACCCTTGTGCACAAGTGCGCTCGGGTATAAAAAAAGACGATGATTTTTCCCTTCAGCGACTTGAAATTGCAGAAATATGTATGTATGTACCGGTCCAAATGTTGGTGTTGACAGATAACTCATACGCCATGGCATGCGTGTAATAAAGGGCAGGTACGCTAGCAGCTTTTGGATCGGTGCATGACACAACTATTTAAAGGTAGTTTCACTTATTCTTCTCATTTGCCATTTGACGTAAACTGTATTTGTGATATTTTTTTTTTTAATTTGAAGAAAGCAAATTCTTAGAATAAAGTGGTTGCTTACTTCAAATTAATAAAATATTTTGAGCATTAATTAAAGCGAGAATATTGTGATTTGTTTTTAAAACTAAATATAAAACGATAGGAAAGAAAAATACTCGCATTAAATTGTGTATTGAAAAGAAAGTATGTATTAGTTTATGCAATTATTTTTATTCTAACTTAGTAAGACAAGCTGCATATTTGGGATATATTACTAAAGGTGTCGTTCGTTTGATCCAATCTAAGAATGAGAACTGCCTGTTTCAAGTGCATCTATCCACTAGAGAGAATACAAATTGAAGCAATATCGAAATAAATATACTATAGGACCAGATATGATATTGAAATTGGAAAACATTGTTTGTGTTTTGCTTTATTATTTCTGGAAATAGTTGTTCACAATAAGACCGAATATTTCATGTAATACTACAGATAACGCAATTTTTTGTCAGGGCCTCACTTGTGTATGATGTTAAGAATCAATGCACATTTATTAACAGCTCTGCTTATATTTATTATCAAATAAGTACATTTACCTTTGTGTGTTATTATATTTTAATGCATAAAAAAATCCTTAAAAATATTAAAATTTCTAAAACAATAATTTGTTGAGGTGAGTGATACTGAGCAATTTACGAAAAGTATAAACGTCCATAAGTACATTTTATGTCAAGGCGTATTTAACAAGGTTGTGTTAGCCATATATAAAAAAATTACACTAATAAATTACATGCAGATATCCATACAGTCCTTGGTATGAGTTACAACAAACACATCATTTTGACGCAATGCCCTCCACGGCGAAAAATTCAGCTGGCGCCTCAACCCCACCTTGTTAAATACACCTTGGTTTATGTCAAGAAATCTCAACGTGAAACCTTCATGTATCATGGTTCGGTGTGAACTTTTTTATTTTATTTGAGTACATTAAAATGTTTAAATTTCAAAGCCAAAGTCATGTACTTGATCACCTGCAAATCTGCCAAAGTTACTCGCTTGCCGGAACTTTTTTATTTATCTACCAGTTTTTACGCTTAAAAAAATCGGCACATACTAAAATCTTTAATTTTATGAGGAGTGAAGTTCTATTTAAATAGTTGGGCAAAAATGAAGTTGTTATATTTTTGAAGGTTAATAAGCTGTTCTAGATCGCCGGAATTTTAGAAAGATGCACAAACATTTATTTTCAACGTTGTATCTTACTTTGCAATCGAGTCATAAAGAAAATGTTTTTGAGACATGAAGATTTTGCCTGAGAAGACCGCTACTAAAATGTTCCGAAGAAAAATTCTCTAGAACATTTTAATCCTCTCACGACTTTCCAAATTTTCTTTTTGAGGGGCCTCTTGAAGTAAGGGTCAAAATGACCCTTTCAGGCGGAAGCTATTTAATGGGGCAAAATATTATACGAAAAAATTTTTCTGCAGTTTTACCATATATGTCTTAACCTTTAATTTACCGCAATATTAGTAGATCATAAAATAAAAATACGAGCTGACATTGTAAATCCATCAAGTATTTTATTACTGGATATGCATAATAATAATAATAGAATGGCACTTACACATGTGTTTGGCCGAGCTTCTCCTCCGATTTATCACAGAAAGGGCAGGGACCTACAGTTTTGTAATTTTATGAAAAGCTGTTTCTCATGGCACAAATACACTAGAAGGTTTACCATTGTCTGCCGGGGCGACCGCTGTTAAGAAAAAAACTTTTTTCTATATTTTTTTGCGATGTTGCTTTGACCAGGGCTTGAACCAAGGCCTGTTGGAGTGGTAGCGCGCACTGCTAACCACCACAGCGGCCTGGATGTGTATACTTTCAGAAAATATAAGCAAACTGCGGGCGGGTTTCTGCTGTCATACATTGTTATTTATATATGAAAAAAATTATAAAAACCCATTCGAAGCTCTCGAACTTGAATTCGGAGTACAAACTTCAGAGGCAACCCTCGCATCCATATTCTATGACAGTTTATACTATCTTCACTCATATGTACTTTTATATGCATGCAAGTACATATCTGTATGTACGAATACGTATTCACTATTGTCAATTCCGAAGGGCGTACATTACCATATTGAATGTTATAAAACATTGATTTTTTTCGCATTTTCATTGCGAACAAATGTAGCACGAATGCATCAGATTAGCGTGACATGTTAACCCTCCCAGTAGCTTATGCACTTACATATGTACCTAAATATGTATGTATATATTGAGTGTGCACCCAGCCAGCAAAATCATCGTAAACAAGCTCGTAATTGGATATTTTCTCGAAGAAAAACCGGATTAAAAATCGTTTATGATAGCCGTTTACGACTCTTTTTCGAGCACGAGAAAAATTCAAAGTATGCAGTTTCAAATCCCATTATATTTTAGTATAACATAGTGCAAGCTTGAAGTTGCCAGAAAACTGCGTTGATTTTTGGCAATTTTTTCACGCAGTTTCTTCCATGCAAATTATGTGCGACATTTTTTTTTTTATGGAAGAAACTGCGTATAAGAAATTGTCAAAAAACAAAGAGGTTTTCTAGCTATTCAAGCGTGCACTTTATTATACTAAAATTAAATGGGCTATAAAACTGCATACTTAAAATTTTTCTAAAAAATCTGATTTGAAAGTAGAACTTCATACTAACTATATTTTTATAAAAAACAATTAGAGAAGAAATCAGAATAAAAAACTTTGCATTCATGGCGAAAAATTCTCTGTGCCAATATTTTTTCCCGGCACTGTATATGTGAAGATATTTTCAGATAAATAAATATTAACAAACTATCTATTAACAAATTAACAATTAAATAAGAGGGGTTTAATATATATTATAAAGTTGCTGAATTTATTTTTTATCTTTTTTGCCGATAGGCTGCCAATTTTTTTTGCCGGTCGTGTGCATATTGGAAGTGCTTCTTTGAAACGGAAATAAAAACTTCTTCGTGGGAGTTAAATTTTTGACGAAAAGCACCTAAGAAAATAAAGTGAAAGATTAAACTCCATTGGAAACCGGAAAATTTAATTAAGTAAAAAGTGGTAATAAATAATATTATGATCCGTACTTCTTATTGCCGCAGTCGTTGCCAAACCAATAGCGCTGCTTTTGGTACCAGTTCCCTTCCACGAGAAAAGTTTTGCTACCTCATCTGTAATAATTTTTTTTTAATGAATCATTTATTGACGCTAGTACGGATAAGGCTTCGGATTTCGCACGCCTTTTTAATTGAGAAGCCATATTATCAATAAAACATTAAGTTCAATAACTGCAAAGACCTAATAAACTAGCAAATTAAAAAAATAAATAACTATAAACTTACGAGATAGGGGAATTAAACGTTTAAATCCCTTAGTGTTACTCCGCGCAGCCTGTGAAAGAATTGGAAAACTCGTTAAATTAATTTGTATTTTTGAATTACATATGTAGTAGCTACTTACAAGAAGTTTAATTATAANAGAAAAATTCAAAGTATGCAGTTTCAAATCCCATTATATTTTAGTATAACATAGTGCAAGCTTGAAGTTGCCAGAAAACTGCGTTGATTTTTGGCAATTTTTTCACGCAGTTTCTTCCATGCAAATTATGTGCGACATTTTTTTTTTTTTGGAAGAAACTGCGTATAAGAAATTGTCAAAAAACAAAGAGGTTTTCTAGCTATTCAAGCGTGCACTTTATTATACTAAAATTAAATGGGCTATAAAACTGCATACTTAAAATTTTTCTAAAAAATCTGATTTGAAAGTATAACTTCATACTAACTATATTTTTATAAAAAACAATTAGAGAAGAAATCAGAATAAAAAACTTTGCATTCATGGCGAAAAATTCTCTGTGCCAATATTTTTTCCCGGCACTGTATATGTGAAGATATTTTCAGATAAATAAATATTAACAAACTATCTATTAACAAATTAACAATTAAATAAGAGGGGTTTAATATATATTATAAAGTTGCTGAATTTATTTTTTATCTTTTTTGCCGATAGGCTGCCCAATTTTTTTGCCGGTCGTGTGCATATTGGAAGTGCTTCTTTGAAACGGAAATAAAAACTTCTTCGTGGGAGTTAAATTTTTGACGAAAAGCACCTAAGAAAATAAAGTGAAAGATTAAACTCCATTGGAAACCGGAAAATTTAATTAAGTAAAAAGTGGTAATAAATAATATTATGATCCGTACTTCTTATTGCCGCAGTCGTTGCCAAACCAATAGCGCTGCTTTGGGGACCAGTTCCCTTCCACGAGAAAAGTTTTTCTACCTCATCTGTAATAATTTTTTTTTTAATGAATCATTTATTGACGCTCGTACGGATTTCGCACGCCTTTTTAATTGAGAAGCCATATTATCAATAAAACATTAAGTTCAATAACTGCAAAGACCTAATAAACTAGCAAATTAATAAAATAAATAACTATAAACTTACGAAATAGGGGAATTAAACGTTTAAATCCCTTAGTGTTACTCCGCGCAGCCTGTGAAAGAATTGGAAAACTCGTTAAATTAATTTGTATTTTTGAATTACATATGTAGTAGCTACTTACAAGAAGTTTAATTATAAAAGAAAGTGGTAGATCGTCCTTGGCGTTTGCACCAGTCTGCCAATAAATCACATACTTAATAATTTTCTTAAATTGAATATTTAAAAAACTACTTATAAAATATTGTGATTGAAGAAAAATTGTTAACAAAACTAAAATTTTTTCTTGTGCTGACAAATTACTACAAGCCTCTTTCTATTATATTTTTTTTTTTTGTATCGTTTACGAGCTTTTCTCTAACTATTTGGCGATACGAGAATCCCTCGTAAAACATAATGTTCGTAAAATGTACGTTTTCTTGCTGGCTGGGCATATACCAATGTGCAAAAGTAATGATGTAGTTGTTGAGAAAAAATTAAAATGAAATAGAATGTGTACAACTTTGTGATAACATTTCATAGTTAAATTTTTGTAAATGTCTGCGCTCATAGCTGAATGCACTGGCAAAAAAGACATATGTACATAATAAGTACGTGAATGAAAAAAACTCCACCCTATTGTGAATATTATTTAATATATACAAAAGAAAAAAGTAGAGCATATAAATGTGTGTAAGCTCTACTTTTTATGTGGCTAGGTTTCTGGGTTATTAGTTAAATTATTGAACTGTTTCTCCGTTCATCGCTGATATTTTCACCACATGCGATACGACTCTTTTTCAGTAGAAAAAAAAACCAGATAAATTTCTTTACGAGATTTATGTTTTGTACTTATTTAACAGCTTTGTAATATTTTTCTTTTTTTTGGACATTTTAAAAAAATTACCTTTTTCCAAAATTCGCTTCTGCCCATGCCTGCAAATGCCTGATGATATTCATTGAATTATTTTGAGAAACAATAACTTAAAATGGGAGCAAAGGGTATTATAGACCCCATAAGGAAAAGTTTCTATAGAAAACACGGAAATCTGAATTTTTTCTAACTTTTATTGGATAACACAGCCCAACAAGTATATAAAAAGTTTTCGGGACGGCAATTGTTAAAGCTGTTTTTGATAGAGTTTTTTGTTCTGATTACGAATCCGTAAGCACAAAGTTTCCATCAGCTCCAGATTTCGAAAAAACTAGGTCAAATTGTCAAAAATCGCGTTTTTTGCAATATTTTAGAAGCTCTATCAAAGAAAAAAGTGATAGAACATTCCCGGCTTAAATTAAATCTGGAACTCTCGACTACTATCACTGATAATACCATTCCTGCACATTGACTTTTTGGTCACTTAGTTATTTGTTATATACTTTTATTTGTTTTTATTTTATTTCAGATAAATCAAATTTTTTAACGTTTATTATAGGTTTCAATATTAAGTGCCATTGAAATTGGTTATTGTGGTACACCAACTGTACATTGCATTCTTGTACAAAAATATATATTTCCCATGATTCCAGAAAATTATAAAATATTATAATATTATTAGCACCAATAGCTGACACTATGCAAATAAGCCAAATACTCGCTAGTATAATTTTTTAATTTTGTACGTTTCAAAAAATAAATAATGAGCATTAAAATTCTAAAAAATACATTTTTAGAACAAAAACGTGTAATGTGCAAATATAGGACTTGACATAAAACGTACGTTTCATAAAACGTAGGTTTCATAAAGGCACGCAATCCTTTCATCGAAAGGGGTCAAAATCCAATTCATACTATAATATATTTTCAAGCACAATAGGGGTATTCACGATCCGGTGCATACTGTCTAGCATGGTGCATAGATAGCATAAATAGCATGCTTGTTGTTGTTTCATATGTTCAAACAACAACAAAATTAGCCAATCATGCTACTTATGCTATCTGTGCACCATGCTAGACAGTATGCACCGGAACGTGAATACCCCTAATATTTGACTGCAATTTTTTTATATATTTATTGGTTTCCCTTCACAGAGTTCATTTGTGCTTGAACCACTATTGAAAATAACTGTCGCTTTTTTCAATAGGTGGTACCCATTAGCCGCCGAAACAATGTTGTCACTATTAGGCTATATTAATAAAGTTTTACGGATATCTTAAAGTGTGCTCTGTGCCATTCAAAAGAAGTTCTTACTCGCCAATATGCGCCAACTAACGCAGGAACAGCCTTCTAAGCATCGCATGCAAAGTTTTATATAGCCCACAGTCAACCAGCTGATTGGGATTTTCGATTCGTACGAAAACAAGAATACGCCCCAATGTGTTTTTATTTTATTATTACAACGCTTTTATCAACTTGTAATGTTGTGTGTCCAGACAGCTACAAAACCTTTCGTCGGTTGAGAGGTAGATGTCGCCCTGTGCACTACGTACGCTACAGCGGAAATGGACGACACAGCGTTACCATTTTAGCCGTTTTCCGGCTAGATTTAGCCGGTTTTGATAGCAACTAGCCGGAGAAAATTCGATCTAGCCGGCAGCCGATTTGAGAGCCGGTTTGTAAAAAAAAGTTAGCCGTTCTTAGCCGATTTTACTATTTGCCTAATTTTCAGGTGCAAAAAGTAAACAACTTGTTCGAAAGCAATAATGCAGACCCAATGAAGATTTTTAATGAACTCAATGTTTTACTTTCGCATCTATGCTCCCTAGTGGTTATTAGCGCGGACACATTTGATCCTATATGCTCCCCGTTGGAACCATACCTTGCTCCATTTCCTCAGTTTTATCACAGTTTTGAAGAGTATTTAAAAACAAAAGTAAGCACAAACGCTTTTGACCACGAAGCCGAGAAAATAATTCGAGAAAATGGTCGCTATTTTATTATCACTTTAATAAAGGAATTACGCCAACGCCTCCCTACAAATATTGCCACACTAAAAAAAATTGACTTTTTTCGGTTGGAAATGCATTAAGAGTAATTAAACCAAAAGTATTTGTTCAACTACAGCAACAAAAACACAAATATAATGCCGACGAAATAACATCCATAGAGATGCAATGGCAACGGTTAACGTTACATACCTGGAGTAATTTAGACTCAACTGTAAAATTTTGGGCCGAAGTTTATCAATTTCGAAATGCCCTAGGAGAAAACCCTTTTGCTGACCTTTGCAACCTAGTTTTAATAAAATAAAAGCTTTTTAGTATACAACGCTTTTATAAATGAACTAAAAGTAGAAAACAATATTTCTCAGCCCCCTAGAATTTGTTTTGACAGCTGTTGATTTTAAATTTTAGCAAAAGTCATTATAAACAATTTATGAGATTGAAAATGAAACGCGTGTGGCGCATGCATTAATTGACAATAGTCGAACTACATAACATAGACCTAAAATTTCTGCAGAGAAAGTACGCTATTACCATGATACAATAATACAAGGTGGTATCAATTGTGACAGCTCGATTTCACACTGCCTTAGCTCAGTAGAACGAGAAGAAAAACGGGAAGAAATTAAGCCCCATTTGGGGGAAAAATATAAAATTCCACATTTTTTCCTAAACAAAATTTGCTTTTTTATAGTATATTCGTATTGAAATGAAATAAAATAAGATAAAATACCTTTCTAAGAAAAAAGTGCGTATACTAAAATCTAATTTTGATTAAGGTATAACTTCTTGAGCGATCTGACTTAAAGCTCGAAATTTAAACAAATGTACCAGTTACTAAATGCGAGAAAAAAAGGCTGCGCACAACTGTAACTGAATTTCGAGTATTTTATAAAAATCATGAATTTTCTTGTGATAGTCATTGAGCGGTACTTCTTTTACATTTGTGGGTATAAAGGTAGATTAAAGAACAACATGCTACGTACCATTTCTGAAAAGTCGTATTGGGAAAACGAGTAACCAGTTCGCAATTTTCTACTTAATAATGGTTTTTGGTTGACCACAACCAATCAAAGGCAAACAAATTCAAAGTCCTGGTGCAAAAAAATTATTCTGATCGCAGCTTAACTAGTCGACCGATCATAATAGGGTTATGGTGTCCTTTAGCTCAACTTAAAAGGTAGGATATCTTTTATTGTGATTTACATATCTCGTTTTATCGATAACACGATAAACTTTCATTAACTTTATAAATTTCGATAGCTCGATTAATTTTGATAGCTCTCTACATTTCGATATCCATCGACAAATTTAGATAAACCGATAAAAAGCGAAAGTCAGTTATACATGTATAACCAAGAAATTTGAATAACTCGACATATTTTGAAAACTCCAAACATAAATCAATACTCAACGAGAACTCGATAAGTTGAAGGAACTTGAAACTCCACAACTCCATAACGCCACAAGAACACTGACACTGTCAATTCTGCTTTGTTAAACAAAAAACACAGGAGATATTTCTCTACATATTCAAACCGACAACCAAATTTGCAGGAACATTAGATTTTTCACTAGAAAATTGTGAACGTTTTGTATTTTATTTTACGCCAAACATATGAAAACGTATAACATAAAAAGTGAGTTTAAGCTCCGACTCGATTTTCAGTACAAATTCTTGAGCTTGAGCTCATTCTTTCAGTGCAAAAATTGAGTCTGATCTTAAGCTCACTTTTTATGCATAAGGCTCAATGTTGCTCATGCTCCGGTTCGAGTATCCAAGCGTTTGATTAAATTTAAATAAATCATGGTACAACTATTACAGGTATTGTCTTCTCATAGAGTTTTGCTTCACATCGAAATTCGTGCTCCTTATTTTCATTTTGACGCATTTAATTTTTGTTAGTTTTCTAAATAAAATAAAAAACGTGTGAAA